GCATAGGAGGTCCAGTCTGCGTAGGTTGTGCCCCTTGTTCACTAAAAACTGTTTCTTTAGCAGTGATTATGTGCATTTAAAAAAAGACATAGTTCTCTATATCAACAGTAAGCTTTCAGAATGAAACTAATATTTTTGTTTTAAATGTGGCAGTGTTTTGGGGCATGACTTTTTAAACTTTTTGAAACAAATTACAATGTAAGAACTTGCCAATGCAAAAGACCGCTAACGTTATATGGAGAGTGAATATATTTCCATTTATGGATTCTATTTGTTTACAACTTGCCAACAAACGAAAAGATGTTTATTCGTCAGCTCGGAAGAATGTGTTTGACTAGTTTTTAAAGTAAAACTGGCGTTTTGAAACAGAAAATGAATGATTAGACAGGTAACAGTTTTCTTTCAATTTTCTTTCAAGACCTGTAAATAGTATAAATATGTAAAAAAAAAAATGCATGCAGATTTGTATGTATTTATACAAAACTAAGTAATTTTCTTCAGGAGAAATTTTTTGTCTGGCCTGTTGTATTTATTATTTTTGGTAGCTTTTTGTTGAAATCGTTCATATCTTTTGCTGCTTCACGGGCTTCTAATAGTTTGCTACCATTTCAGAGCAGAAAAGCCCACCCATGCCCGTACTTTTCAAATGTTTTTCCGCTATGGACAAGAATGATTTCAAGGCAATTATGACCAAAAAGTTGAAACATCTTCCCCGAGGGCTACTGATCTATTTACAGTACATGTATCTTCCAGCAATAACTTTTTTCCGGATCCAAGAACTACGTTTTATTTTTATATTTTTTATGGACGACCACATTACATTCAATACATGTAATTAGTTTTGACCTGGCACATATTATGCCTTTGTGATTATCATTTTTGGAGAAATTTAGCCTTCTCGACCAGCGCCCTTCTATTCGGTCCGTAGAGCATGGCGGTGGGTGTGTACGGACCCATGAGGTCGAAATACAATAATCCCCCCCCCTGTCTCCCCAGCTTGTCTCCCAAGCCCGTCTCCGCCCCCCCGCTCCCAATGTTGAAAAATCGCCGCCCCTTGCCAGGCCGCCATGTTGGATACTAGATAAGCCAGTCCATACACGCAGTGTATTTCATACGGGCTGTGGCCACGTGCCGTTTTCAGTGCCGTGTTTCAGCGAAGGAAGATCGGAATACACCATCATAATGTATGCGTGTATAATTATAAGTCCATGTATACGTGCGTGCGTCTTCACAGACATTGATGTGATGTATTCCTTGGTCTGAGCTCAAAACGCATTTTTATTTTTTTACACGATATCTAGCCATGGAATTACCCAAGGGGGCTGGTGGAAGGCTCATCTCTAATTCTCAATCAAACAATTAAGCGCGATGCATTATGGATACTTGCGCAATTGCGTATGTCTAATTACTTTCTGATACCATAGGTCAAATAGCCCACCTTTTCTGAACGTAGCTCAATAATGACGGACTCTAAAGTAAATAATGCAGGTAAAAAATACAAACAATGTAAATATTCTGCACTGCACTATATTCGCAGAAAACGTAATAGATAATTTGGAGAGCCCGAAGCATCACAAACTTTATCCATGGTGCCGCTATCCCCCCCCAAAAAAAAGAATGAGTGAGGAATGGCTATGGCAGTGTCCCCAATATTTCCCACTGGATTAATTTAAATGCACCTCTGCGCAACAAACCCACAAAATAATAATGGCACATATTTGCCTTGAGACACAAAAGACACCAAATTGCCAATTTTTCGATTAAATACTGGAAAAAGTCGGAACGCGTCCGGGCGGGCCCGAACACGTTCCTTTGAGTCCGGACTCAAAGGAACGCAAGGGAACGCAGTGACACACAAGACTGAGTCCGCTTGCGTTTCTTTGAGTCCGGACTCAAAGGAACGTGTTCGGGCCCTTCCGGACGCGTTCCGACTTTTTCCATGGTGCCTTAAGGATACGATCTCTATCATTCATCAGCTGAGTTACCTATCAGTAATCCAGGGACAAGCATTCTTATTAGTAATCTCAAATCTCGTCCGGAACAAGTTGCAGTAAAATTGTGGGGAGAGTGAGTACTTTCCCCACGATTTCCCCCCAAGTAGCAGTTCATTTATTGAGGGGAAGTTGTGGAGGAATTTTGCATTAGTAGGTCACTTACTATGAAGGACTGTTTACGTTGCCAGTTGGCTTGTAAGAGGTGGTTACTATCTTAAGTTGTTCGCGGTTTCCGGAGACTGACCTTGGGTCACTCAACACACCATGATTTTTGGTCATGTGTTCAATACCTGCTGTAGACTGAATCAAATGGTTGTTTGGAAAAACTTACAGACTTTGTCAGTCCCTCTGCTTATTTTGCTTCATTTGCTTGTTAAATGTGCAAGTTGTGTTACCTATACCCCTTGTTATACATGTACCTCCATATCCATTCACTCCTGAATTCAAAACTGGAAGTGTTTACTATAATATTTCTTCTCCCTTTTGGTTTCTCCAGTGCGGTGTATTATCTCAGAGATAGTTACCCTAGGAGTGGTGCCGGTCACAGACTTCATGGCTTCCCAAACTGACACCACTTTATTGTAAAGATCACATGCGTCATCCTTGGTGTTATTAATACCCACATGAAAGATGATTTCTCGAGGTTTGCGTTTCAGGATCAGTTCTCTGGAATAGGGGTAGATATCATCTGTAGATATCATCACTTCGCTTGTTTGGATCTGCTAAGTCGTGGGCCACTGATGTGCTTTACCATTGAATCGCCAACAATGAGCATGTCGCTATTCGTTGCAGCAAGACTGTTGTGTTTCTCCTTGTAATGGTGTAGCTGCTTCTGAAACGAGTCACCCACTCGGCCACTGTACCATCAGATCTTATTGTAGGGTTGGCATTTTCTTTGGAATTTGACGTTATAGTATCACAGTACTTATCAATGGCCTCTGCCTCAGATATACTGTCATTCGCTGGAAGATCAGAAGCGCTTTCGTTTGGTTCATCGGAGGTCAGTGGTACATACCGATTCATTGTTGAGACTAGGGTGCATCCCGCAGGATCAATGGGCTTATTGTTACCGCTCATTAACATGTCAATGGTGGCCCGTACTTCCCGTTTTTCGGATTCAAAATGTTTTAGTTTTTCTTAAAACGCCACTTTTAACTTCTCAGAGATCTTTGTAATTTCATTGGTAAACTTGTGATCTAGTGCTTTGATATTATCATTCAATCTGTTAATATGACTAAGAATAGACAGTAGACCAACCGCATTGTTCTGTCCGGAATCGGGTATCATGACGGCCACATCACGTCCACTGTCCCGATCCACCTTATCCAATATATCTTGCTGCAAGTTTTTCTTCAAGCGCTCAAGCAAAGCCTTCTTACACCCAGTCATAGAGAGACCTCGCTTCTTGAGCTCATTCTTGATTTCAATTAGTGTCAGGTTTTCTACGGATTTGGCATCAATTGCAGACATTTTCGAGTCAAGTTTCTGTTCGAGTTGACTTCGTGCAATTTACTGGAATAACGGAATAACATTGACCGAAGACCAGTGACCAATAATGTAATAATAAAGAGGCTATTAATATAACAGCCATGGATTTGCTTGTACTTTGGAATAAATGTGTTCTGAGCACTACCTTTTTTTTTTCATTTTCCTGCAGACTATTTCAAAAAGGGAACAATTATTTGTTTGGTGGGACTTGACCGTGCGTTTAAGACGCGACTAATGCCCGAGCCGCAGGCAAGGCCATTATCAGATTTTAGTCTCCTGAGCCGATCTCGCACATTAGTTAAATTTAAGGATCAATCACATTGCTTTCACGTAAAATGGTTGTTAAATAGGGAATCGGTCACTGTTACCCATATCAGGACTAACAAGACAGCTAATCTTCGCATTTATAAAAAAATCGTTACTTTGTGAGTTCAGTTCTACGTCGAGAATGCTCAGCGTAAAAAAATGCGTTGATTAGACGGTAAACAAATCTACCGATTTGATGATGTCATAATCCGGCTTTTCCCCCAGAATTTCTTAAATTGCGGTCGTATTAGGTGTTTTATAGTACAAAAACAGATTAAAACAGGTAAAATAAGTTACATGTCATTCTCAGCAAATTACCACGGCCACCTGCCTGAATTTCATCAGGACCTCACTTCCAATCAGATTGGGACGGTTCAACTTTATTATACAATCCAGTGTTGATCATTGTCGATGTAAAAGCAATTCCAGGTCGCTCTCACTGTCCAACCTCTTTTAATTCACGGTTAAGTGCGAGCAAGCACAGCGTTCGCGCACGCGGGTGCGTGCGCCCCGAAATAATGAAACAGTTATATAGTTGCAGAGCCATATTGTGACGTCATCAAAAAGGCTTCTGTAGACCTTATGCACTGACGTCACTGCCAACTTAACGACCAATGGCGTCGCCATCTTCGAGGTCAAGCGTCGGCATGCTTTCGTTGAAGTGCGCGTGCTAACGCAAAATAGTGCAGTACATTTTGTACCGGGAATCGCACGATGCAAAATCTGAATAAAGAGCGTATTTTACAGAGCGATACTTTATTTCCCTCACTTTTACCATGTCGGATTTTTTGTCTGCCTATGCTTAAGGCTTAATGGGTGCTTCTAAATCGAGATATATAGAAAAATTAGAGGCATGTAACCTGAAACAGGACCCGTATCAGATCGACGCAAAAAAGCTGGAGGCTGCACCGGAAATAATAATTCCTTACGTTCAGTGGAACGACATGTACATCTACATGATTTCAACCCCGAGCCAGCACACAAAGGAAGACATAAGAAAAAATTACTCCTGCTTTCTCCAGTAAAAACTTGTTTGCCTTGGTATGTTTTAATTTGCATAAACCAAAGAAAAGAAAGAAACAAAGGAATTAGAGAACAAATTTCCAAAACGTCATTAACGTTGATCCCTTACTAGTTTAGCTTAGTTATAAGATATAACTGAACTTGATCCCCACCAAAGTCAGTCCGAAAACAGCCAGACCTGTGGCCTACTGACTGCACCAAGGCGGAATCAGGCTGTTTTTTCTTGTTTTCAATCTCGTCACAATCTAGGTTTTTACTCAAGCCCCTCCAGGAAAAGCCTGCCCTCTAGGCTCTAGTCATGTTAGCCTTGCCACAAAATGCATTCCCTCTAGTTATTGCTGCTCCTAACCCAGTCACTATAACATTACTAATTAGCCCCCCCATAACAGTGTCTGTTAACTGTTGGCATGGTTGGTGAATTACTTTATATTGGAAACCTTGATTTATATTAGGACGTCGTGTATTTTGGGTTTAATTATGAGATTAAATCAGGAAATATTAATATTTTTAGTCCAGGAAGGAAGAAGAAATTTTCTGCAGGCAAAGTGATGTTGTAATTGGACAGAATTTTTTTTGTTTGTTTGTAAGATGCACTTTTCCCTCCATGAATTGCAGGCATGGAAATCCATGACAGGATCAGAATGTTTTGTCAAGGCTGGATGGGTCCACGATATGCAACTTCACACATACCAATCTGGGTCCGGGAAGACCAGATATGTGGTGATTGGCAGGGTGAAACACAGCCAGAGAATGACAGCAACCCCTCTGATTCCATGGTTTGCTGCTGAGAAGTGTGGAGATATTATAGCTGCACACTGTACATGCATGGCCGGGTAAGAAATATTTTCTTAATTCGCAGGTCGTCTGTAAAGTGAAAAATATTCATGCGTATGACTAATAAATGACCCTGGTTGTCTGAGTGATATGTCTGTTAGGCAAACTCACCTTTCTGATATTCAATGTTTGTCTGTATCAATTCTTATCTACTACCCTTGCAGAATGGAAGTAGCCTGTAGCCATGTTGCTGCATTAATATCAAGTGTTGTAAAAGCCAACCAGTTGAGGAAAGCTCCAGGATCAGATGCCTGTACTTCTCAGAAGTGTGCATGGCTACCAGCAAAAAGAAATGTAAGAAAAAGATGAGGAAAGTATTCATTTAATATGGAAAAATGGCTGGTTTAGGCAACGATAATCACAACCTGAAACTGTTTCTCATAACCTTCCAATGTAGAAGCCCTTATCCAGCTGTTATTTCTTGCATAATGTGCCCAATCATTGAATATTTCCATTTTTTTTCAATTACAGGTATGTGCTGCAGAAGTGAAGCACATCAATTTCAGAAAGCCTTTAACAAGTACCTGCAAGAAACCTCAGACAGAAGCTGCTATAGCACCCCCTACATCAGATCAACTGGCCGTATTCCATGCCTCTCTCCAGCAAGTATCAGCTCGGCCAGTTGTTCATCGTGTCATGGATGCTTATGCCCAAGAATTTATTCCCCCTTCTGCTACTGACAAGTACCCAAAGGCCCTCTCATCTCTCCATGACCCGGACAGTTTGGACCTGACTTACCCTCACTTTCTTCAGAAATGTGCTACTGTCAGTGACTCAATAAAGGTACAGTTTTTCCACCCAGCAGAACTCTTGTCACTTTTGAAAACTTGCCTCTTGTAATTTCACTACATGTTTGTCACATGGGTAAATGGCCTTTAAACCTGAAATCATGAATGGTCTTTCTGAAACAGTTTTAGCCTTCATGAATGGAGGATATAAGCCTTCAATCAATTTAAGCAATAACAATGATTTGAACAGTTTTCAGAAGGCAGACTTGCATTTGCAATGAGCATTTGCATTACAGCAAGTATGCCCACCTGAGACTAGATCACTCACTCAAGGTATGGGCTAAATACATGACCAACAGTTCACATCAGTTTTTAAAAAGGTGTGCTGATAGAATGCCTCAAAAATGGCACAATTTTTAGAGCTAAAAATACTTTTTTTCAATTACCAGTTTTAGTCCCATGATATGATTGAAATATTTGTTCCGTGAAAAGATGAATGTAGTAACAAATGTATTGAGCCAAAGTCTATTTTCTGTTCAACACAGATAACAACACAGCAGTGTCAAGCTGTGGAAGAGGGAACTAAAGGTCAGGCTAACTGCAAGATCTGGTTGGCCCAGAGAGCTGGTCGTATTACTGCTTCAAATTTCAAAAGTGCTGCAAGAACAAATCCTGCCATGCCATCATAGGGTCGTCATGAGAGTCAGTATTGATTCAGCGTTGTTACCAACTTTATTTGCAAGAACGACCGAGAAGGTTGCGATAGAATTGTAAGCTAACTGTTGACTGAATTGGAGAATTGAAAAGCAGACTAATACTGCATACTGGATACCGGATCTGGATACTGGATACTGAATACTGAGGAGCTGTACAATGATGCATTACTTATATACAGTTAAAAACAGGATGTAGTTAAAGTCAGTCACAAAACTTAAGAAAGGAAGGTCTTAGTCACATGTCTTAGCTGGATTCTTAGAACAATGACTGTGAATGAATAATTTCACCTTAAAACTAAGTCCTTGGTGGATGATAGTACAAGCTTAAATGAAGCATGCTGAAGTGTGCCACAGCCTCTGGGCTAACAAGGTGAAATAGGCGGAAACAATATTCACTGTACAAGACACCGTGTGGGTGTACTCTTACAAGGAAAATGCAGTGAGTAATGTGTCTACGAAATGGCAAACAGGATATATACAGGTAATGAAAAAGTTGTCAAAGTTAAAAATGAAGATTCTGAAAGCTAAATTCACTAAAAGAAATAAATGCAAATAATTCAAGTAATTGTGCAGAAAACGCTACGCCATCAGCAAGTCTCATCAAGAAAATTTGCGATCCAGAGGCTTTTCGGTTCTCAACGGCAGCAACAAGGTACATGTGTGTACTGTGTTTGTTATGCAGTGACACAAGGTAAAAACCCTGGTCACGGGGGGGGGTTTGGAATTGCCAGCTAGGATATTATGAAATTGACAATTAATAAAACATGTTACTTTAACAACTGTTGAAAAGGATGACAATGGATGGGAATAATTACGAGCGTCATTTTAGCCAGCAAGCACTTTGCAGTAGTTTTTTTTTAGATTTTGTTGGCATTTGTATTTCACTGTATAAATTATAGACCTTTTTAGTTTTTCCCCTTACTGTCCTATACATGTAGGTTCTTTGTTTGGTGTTTACTTACCATTTCCTGTTCTCTATTGTAGTGGTAACAGCATCCGAGGTAAGCTTTTTTTCCTGGAATTCCTTCTTACAATATCCTTTTTCCTTATTTTGTTACATTTCAATTTCTAATCACAGGTGGGGATGGGATCATGAGAAGGAAGCAAGGGATGCATATTGCTGTCAGGAAAACCCTAAGCATCAAGGCCTGGTGGTGAGAGATTGTGGCCTCTACATCAGCCCCCAATATCCTTTTGTAAGGGCATCTCCTGATGGTCTCTTAATCTGCAAATGCTGCCAACCTCGTCTCCTTGAAATCAAGTGCCTTCCAATCACAGATGAACCAAAAGGTCTTTGTAGGGAGAGGAAAGATGGTTGCTAGCAACTGAAAATGGGCCACAGGTATTATTACCAAGTTCAATGCCAACTGAATGTTTGTGATGTAGAAATAGGAATGTTTGTGTTGTGGACAAGGGAAGGCCTTACTGTCCAGGAGATCACAAGAGATACCTCCTTTTTCAAATAGGCTATGGTGGCAGTGAACTCATTCTTTGTAACTGGTGTCCTTCAAGAGTTGATTGGGAAATGGCTGTCTCGGAAACCTGTGCAATCTTTGACGGGAAATGTACAGATACCAGAACCAGAGGCAACAAGTCGTGACAACAGAGATGAAAAGGACAGGTTGTGGTGCTACTGTGAAAAACCATCATTTGGACAGATGATTAAATGTGACAATAAGAATTGCAGCATAATATTGTTTCACATGGAGTGCCTTCTGATACGCATACCTCCCGAAGGAAAATGGTTCTGTCCACACTGCAGAAAACTGCCAAGTATTCTGACAAGAAGTCCCTAAATAGTCAGATACAGCAAAATGAGTCTTGAAGACAAGTGTAACATGGCCAAAAAAGCTTGGACACAGCAATGTTAATGTTATACAAATAATTTAATGTAATAATAAGCCTTCAAAACATACATCATTTGAATTTAAAGACCTATATAAATGATGATGCCAGTTCAGGAAGGTGAAATAAATGATCTTGATATTTCAGCCACTATTCTTGGTTGTTGAGTTTTTACATTTTAAAATAACTTAGTTGCAGATCGTGGCAAGTTCTGGGCGCAGAACCACTTTTTTGAGATTTCAAACATCCAATTAATTGCAATCTTATGCAATCATAGGGCAACAACTTGTATCGGCTGTCAAATCTTAGTGCTGCACAGAAATTAATCGCTTCTTAGAATTAACAAGCATGATTATTAGAAAAACTACCTTAACATACACTGTTCTAATCAGGAATTCAATGACAATCAAAGTTTGAGAATATATTTCTGAAAGTTATTCAGTTGGAACTACCCCTGGGCAGAGATTAACAAGGGCACAAACAACTTTCACCATTTTGTCCCCAGTAGCTTCCATAAATGCTCCATTACTAACTAGTGTTATTGGTAAATGGTTTTGAAGGATGGTATACTTCTGCTTAACCATTCCTATTACACGTTCCACATGTATCCTCACACATGACAGCTCCCGACTCCAATCTACCTCTACCTTCTCTAACTTTTTTTACCTCTGGTGAATGGAGGACTTTTGACTTCGGCCATTGCCATGCCACAATATTCACCGACAAAAAAGCCCCTATCAGCAATAACCAAGTCACCTGGGATTAATTTGTTTATAAGTCCACTGTTTTGTGTGATTTCTGTGTCACTAGCTCGTCCCCCCAACACTTACTTACAAAACATATCGAGCCCTGTGGAGTTATACCTATAAGGAATTTTACAGTAGAGTGGTGTTTATAGTTACTCCAAACCTGTGCCCTTGCTAGCAAGTCAGATGGCTGCTCAATGAAAATCTCAGTACAATCTATTATCACAGCACATTTTTTGAATAATCTTCGAAAGCAGCATAGCATGCTTAACCTCAAGGATTCTCTTCCTGGCCAGTGAATTATGCTATCCAACTTAACAGCCATTATGTCAAGGATTCTGTGGAAGTTCCGTGAAACAGTCGATTGGCTGACTCCAAACCTGTGACCCAAATCTTCATTAAACAAATTTAATCGCATCTTCATTAGGAAAAGTAACACTCTACTGAATTGAGAAGGCTTGCCACTGCTGGGCAGAGGAGAGGCAATAAGATTAAACAGGGCAAGAAACAATCCCCAACAAGGGAGTCCTGTGTAGAACTTGAGTTTAGAATTGTCCCCATTGAAGTCATTCTCATCAAGGCTTAAGGATTTTAGTTGCTCCTTAATGTCGGACAATTTTGATCAAAGTGCCATATTATCTCTTTCAAGCTGGTCAATTCTCTCCTCTGAGGTAGTAATGTCATTTGATGACAAGCTGGTCTGAGTCGCTGTTCCCCTATCGTGTCAACGGAGGTTCTTCCAATCCCTGAGTGTTTCTTCTGCCTGTCTGCTGCAGCTCAAGCAGTGCTGATGCAGCTGCAACATCATCTGCTTTCCTCTTCTGCTGCTTCAACCTATTGTAGCGTGCTAACGTGTCCTGGTTCTGAGGTGCTCTGGTGTAGCCCATGTTCTTGGTTGGGGCCCAGTCAAAATGGTCCACTTGGTGTAAATAGGCTGGTTTTCCTGTTAGACAATGAAACAGTGTCTAAAATGAATCAGGTCAAACCTCTTCCCGGATATGTCAAACAGTTTTTTATTAAAGTCTATAAACTCCTCAATAAAATCATAAAAATAAAAAAGAAAGACAGGCAGGGAATTTCATCCAATGCTGAGCTCAACTAGTCTTGCTTCAACTGTTCAGCTCAATTGCTTTATTCAAAATAAAATTGTCAACAGAACTTTCCTATTTTGAAACAATAGAAGAACAGCTCAGTGCTAATGGAAGAAGTACCGTAAAAAGAAAAAAGAAGTAAGATTTGCTGTCACGCAAAAATAGTTATTTATTTATTTTTTTACAGACTGATTAACAGCCCGTATAAAAATGCAGCATGATGTACATTTGTTCATGAGGTTGTACATGTATATGAATTTGGGAACTCACAAATGGGAATTTTAAAACAAACATGTCCGGTCACCAACCAAATAATTTTTTCAATAGTTTTTAGACAGTTAAAGGCCCCAGAATTAACCAGATATTTTTTCAATGGAGAAAACCCCCCATGACAGTTGTTACTGAGGGCACAGAGGTAGGAGTGAACTATCATGAACCCTGGCATAGCGTAGGCTAGTATTAAGCCTTACCATAGATACAGATCACTAGCCTAAACCCATGAGCGAGACGGGGTACTACATACCACCATGACCAAAGGGTAGTTGAATTTAATCAGGCCCAGAATTAGGCTTGGTCTTGTTGGAACTTTGACAGGGATCTAAGTTGGGAAAGTGACAAAAAATGGTGCGTCGAATCTGTGTACAAAGTCTATGGGAAACATTATCTATTAAAGAATCGAGAATAAATACATCGATGACGTCATCATGCTAAATTTCTTTTGGGATTGTCCTCTGATGATGTTTTATATGTGCCAAGTTTGAAGTAGATCGGATTTATTATGTTACCAAAGTCGATTGGCTGAAGAAATAGTCTGAAAAAGGAAAAAACCTTGAAGAAAACAACAGCTGTTTCGGCAAAAATGTCTTTCCTTGGTGTAACTTTGATGACGATCGAAGAGTATCCAAAACGATGCCTCAAAAGCGAGTACAAAGTTAATGGGCTGAGAAAAATTTTCAAAAAATGAATCATACATTAGTTGATGACGTTATCATGACGTCATTGTTCAAGGACCATGTATGCATAAGGGTTGTTCATTGACATACGTTTAATGAAGATCCGACGTTGCGAAGGGACCAAAGTCGTGGGTAAAAAAAAGTGGGGAAGAAGAAGAAGACTTTGACTTTTCGAACAGAAACTTTATTTCGTTCTATTGAAATGAAAAAGAAATACAATAGCCTACAAGAAATTTAGAATATTTACAGATAAAAGATTTGTTTTGACATAATTGAATAAAACAGAAGAATGTATCAAGAGATACAATATAACCGGTAAGAACTGTTAAAACGGTTGAAATTATCACAGTTGACAAGAAAACAACTAGGGTGAACAAAGAGAATCACAGTCACGTTTGCAGAAAATTTAGTTTGGAAAATTGTACAATACATGGAAGGAAATATACACTATTGACAAATTAAAAAATAAAAATATTATATGTGGCTCAGGGAGGGTTACTGGAAGGAGAGGTAGAGGGCCTGCGTCACGAGGCAGAGGGACTACGACCCATATCTCGCCGAGGTGAGCTGCTGCCCCGGACTCAGGCCGGGCTGAGAGAGGGGGAGAGGGAAAAGGGGTGGAGAAGGCCGCCGGCGTCTCTGGACGTGGGCAATTCTACCCACTGCCGTGGCCAACCTCCGGGAAGGGAAGAAGGAGGGGAGGGGGATAGAATAGTGATCAAATCAGCCATAATATCTTTTGATTGACTACAGTAAAGAGAGATTCATTAGTAAATTTGTCAAAAAAACAGATCTATGGTGGATTTAAGACGATGATAGTGGAATTCAACGATAATCTTGGATTTTAGACGGTGGGACCAGATTTGGAGAGGGTCAGGAAATTTAGTTGTGCGATAAGACCAGTTCAGGCTGACGATGAGAACATTCGCAAGTTTTACCGCGTTCCGGCTTCGACCCCTAACGTGGGGGATCAGGATCCAGTAGAAGTTGAAGTCGAGATGAAGGTCGGGAAGCAGACGGGAGAGCAGAGCGTGAAGAAGGTTGAGTGCAGGTTGGATGGCAGGGCAGAGAATGAAGAGATGGATGATGGTTCCTTCCTCTCCGCACCATCAGCAGCAACGAGAGATGTCAGGGTTGAGATGGCTGAGGACGGGGAGAGAAGGAAGAACGTTGTAAAGTAGCTTAAACTGGGTGTCACCTTCTTTTTTTGAAGTAGGAAGCTTGTAGATTTGAGTCCAGGGGATAGAGCGGTCAGAGTTCTTGAAAAATCCAATTCGGTGACAGTGGGTCAGTGAGATAGCGGGATTGGAGTTGACAGAGCGGTTGAAGATGTCGTAGAGAGTCTTGGATGGGAGGGAGAGTCCATTGAGGTCGGAAGCGATGGAGAAAGGCGTGGAGGAGTCTGGCGTGAAGGGAACGGTGCGGAGAGGAAACGAGTAGGCCCGGAGTCCGGAGAAGCCGAAGAGAGTCGGGAAGGTAGAGCAGAGTGCAAATTGGAGACGACGGAGTTAAATATCGACGAGGCGGAGGGAGCTAGGACGGATTCTTGAAGGGGCGAAGTGAAGATCTTGAGTTTCCAGCCAACGTCCGGTGGAGGGGTGTAGAAGGTGGCGAGCGATTCTGATCCCGCACGATAGGAGCCGCAAAACGGAGTTCTCATCGTCAGCCAAATGAGCTAAGAGAAAACTATTGATGGGGAGATTGATAACATGGCTGATCGAATCGGAAGGTAGTTTAATTCGAGCTCCGGATGCCGCCCAAGCACGCAGAAGCTCGCCGTAGAATGGAGGAATACTGTGGAAAAATTTGGGATCGAGACCTATTTGGAATAGTTGAAAATCAAAGTTGAGTTTTTTGTAACGTTGGAGGAAGTAAGGAACCGTTTTGTGGGTGGGATGAGGACAAAGACTGAGAAAGCGTTGGATAGTGGACATTCTGTAGGCGAGCGTGCGTGCTTGGAGGCAAATAAGACAAAGTCCACCTTTGTTGGGTCTCTGAAAAAGAGTTTGTTTTTTGAGCAAGTGTCGTTTCCGGACCAGACGAAGTCGACCAACAGGTCTTAGAGTTCGCTTATGATATTGTCTGGGGGAGAAAGAACAGCCAAGACGTGATTGAGTTTAGAATCTGCAAGTTGATTTGCTATGAGAACTTTGCCTTTGAGAGAGAGAGTAGAAGAAAGACGTTTCCATTTTGAGAGAGTGTTGTTTAGTTTTTCCTTATATTTAGTCCAGTTTTGTTGAAAGTGAGCATGAGTGTTTCCCAAGCGAACCCCGAGGAAGGTGAGGCCTTCATTATTCCACTGAAAAAAGTTCAGGGACCGATCGATACGTGTGGTCCAGGATCAGACCCACAACCCCTGGGACTTTTGAGTGTTTAAACTTGCAGCAGAGGATCTGCTGAATAGACTATGTCTCGCGTACAATATTAAAGCCGGTGTCAGAGGTGATAAAAATTGAAATGTCGTCAGCGTATGCCGAAACCGAACAATAGTTTTCAGTACCAGGAAGAAGGAAACTGTGGCCGTTTAAGTTTTGGAGTAATTTGTGGAGAAAGGGTTCGATGGCAATCGAATACAGGAGTCCCGAGAGTGGGCACCCTTGACGAATGCCTTTGTCAAAGCTGAAGGGTGAGGTCAGCGAACCGCACACCTTCACCAGGATCTCAGCGCCATTATACAGGAGTTCAATGTACGATAAAAACGTGTCGCCCAAACCCATGGCTCTCATCGTGTTAAATAGATAGCAGTGGTCAAAACTGTCAAAGGCTTTCTTTTGGTCCAAGTTGACCACAGCCAGAGGAACATCATTCGAATTACAATATTTGATAATGTCTCTGATGAGACAAATGTTATCATAAATGGTCCTACCAGGAACACAGTAAATCTGGTCCTGGTGGATCACGGAACCAATGTATTGTTTAAGACGGTTGGCAAGCAAGTTGGCAAAAAATTTTGTAATCCGTTTTGAAGAGTAAGACAGGACGCCAGTTTGCAATGTCACATAGATCGTCTTTTTTGGGTATGAGTGTGATGATAGCTCTACAGAAGGAGGGTGGAAGAGTTCTGGAGCTGCAGGCGGAGGACAGGACGAAAGAGAAGTCGTCTTTGAAAAGAGACCAGAAAGACTGGAAAAATTCAGATGTAAGACCGTCTAGGCCGGGCGTTTTGTTATTGCCAAGTTGCTTGACCGCTGCATCCAGTTCCTTGGGGAGGAAAGTCGAGGTTCTCCGAGTCAGCCGGGTCTAGTTTGTTTAGATTATTTAAAATTGGGTGGAGGGCACCCTCGTCAGTTTGAGATTGGCTATATAGATTCTGATTTATCAGGACGTGTTTTTTTTTTATTTGAACGGGGTCTTCCGTGACATCACCAGATGAGAGGCCAATACGAGAAATAAACTTGGACAAAGAGCGATATTTTTCAAGATTAAGTTACCCTTTTTCAGATAAACTGATAACAGTTCTTTGAGCTAGGGGATGCAAATGTGATAGGTCGCGGTACTGTTCTCCATCAACTAAGTTTTGCTGTTCACATTTTTGTTCAAAATTCTATGTGACTCTGTATTAGGATATTGCTGTACTTTCTGAAAACGGGAGACAAAACAGTGGAGTTATTAAACTTCTGCACGGCTAAAAATGAATCACTATATAAATAAATCTTGCTAATCCATTTTACAGCGACTGTGTCACTAGCCCATGTCTATGCCTCCTATTGTCCGATTTCTCGTGACAATATTTGTTCTGAATCCATCACGAAAGCATGGTTCCAGGCATTGCTATAGTCTCTCAAAGCTAACTGCTGGCCTTCTGGCTGCATTAGCATCCAAAGCATCCAAACCACGAAAAGCAATGCAATGAGATCAGTGTTTATCTGCCACCTGCAATACTGAAGTGAATAACTAAC